TCTCCCAAGGTGGTCAGGCCTTTGGGCAGATTCGTCTAGCTTTTACACAACAACTTTCACGAGTCTTTGTGTAGCTTGCTGTATGTATTGGTGCATTCATGTTGGAGCAGGAGGACTTAACACTGATCTGCACAATAAGGAGCATGAAATAGTGTCAAAAATCTTGGTGTGCTCAAAAAAGTATAAATGCTTAACTGAACTCTGGTGCCAAAAAGGTGAACTCTCGTTCAACTAAAAAAACAAGGTGAAAGTGTGAAAGCAAACAGCACCAGCTGAAAATGTAGCAATTTTGGTTCCCAGTCAAACTGAGTCTAGCAGAGTATGAGGTGTGAAAGCACCCAGAGAAGCGAATGCATCTGATGCTTAGGATGGCTTGGAAGTAGCTGCTTGCCAATGGAAGCTCATTTTGTGAAGCTCTGTGTAGCTTGTTCTTGAAGTAATCTGACATTGGGAGGTCTGGAGCTACTGAACGCATAAACTTGGTGACCTCTGCTCACTGCGAGCCTCATGATGCACTGACCCCGCTCTGTAATTTTATATGATCCACCACTTTGTGGCTGAGTTTCTGTCTTCTCCAATCACTCTTAATGCCTCTGACTGTGGAATATTTAGCAGTGAGGAAATTTCACGACTGCAACCGATTCTTCCTCAGAGTGTTTGCAGGGCTCCCCCGCTCACCCCCGGAAAGTCTAACCTTAATTTATGTGACTGTGAAAATTATTTTGTTTCTGCTGGAAATCCAAAAACACATTTGTAATCTTCTCTTTAGCTTTCCATCCCTCAGGGCCCCGTGAGCAATGAGGGAACATATAAACCCAGCTGGGATTAACACGGAGGCACGCACAGTAGTAGAAGTTATTTTCTACTGTTTTTGGTCTTTGTACAATATATACTGAATGTACATGCTGAACTCCCATCAGGCTTTTCTTCAAGTATCCCCTTTGTCTCTCTGTAGACACTCACTCCATTAACCTCCTGTCCAGAGGAGCGTGGCGAGTTCAGCTAATTAAATGATTGCTTGGCCTCGCGGTGCCCTTTCCTCCTCGCGTCTGAGGCCCGCATCGCACATCCCGTGTTCTGGTTCTTGCTCAAACATTCCTGAGAGAAAGCAGGGAACGTCTCCTTTTCTGGAAGTTTTCTCGTCAGACTAAGCGAGACGTTGAGGCCCTTCCTCTTCATCTGCCCTCTTGTTTCAAGTTGTTGCCCAAGCAGAGGATTACCGTTGGTTGAGATGCTCAAGATTTTTCACAAAAGGAGTGGGCTCCTGTAAGCCAGCAAGACGTCACGAGCTGATCCGCCTCCTCCTATGCTATGTGCTCGATATGTTCTGTATTCTGTCGTCTTTCAGAGCGGACGAAGGTCCGTTCAGACATGTTGAAAATAGCTTACAGAGGTGGCTTATCAAGACGTCGTTTCAGAACCCCAATTTGTGTTTGTGGACGGCAGTGGTTGTCTTGTCATCGGATGTAATCGTATATTTGTGTGTGCTGCTCATTGGTGACTTTGTTGCAGCACATTCCTCTGCCACGCCTGCAACACACGGAGTTTAAAGACTCATCTGTCAGCACATCGTCACATGAATAATGGTAAAGCATCGGCGCTGAAACACGTCTTACAAGGTCCCAGTTGCCAGTCGGATTCAGCCTCTGTTTAGTGACTCATTTCGATCCCCAAACTACTTTTGGACAAGAATGCTTCTTAAAATGGGGTCTGTTTTTAACATTGCACTCTTGTGACCAACTTGTGAAAACCGAGAGTAACAAACCCTTTCTGTATCTTGTTTAACTGCCTCTCTTCCACCCTTCTCATACCTCTGCTCTCGACGGTGGCTGATGATATTTGTGTCTTACTAATGGTTGCTGATGAGCTGAAATGGTAGACTCTCCCGAAGCTTTATTTACCCGCCTTTAATACTGACCCGTCAGCTTGACTTATGAGACTGCCACATGGGCAGCATGTACGACGGTCCACTCTGACATCACATCCTCGGCCAGGTTCACACAAAGGTAGTTGGGTGCTCCAACTTCCTCCCACAGTCCAAAATAATGCATGTTTGGTTTTGTGTTACTCTAAATTGCCTAACTTTTAAATGTTTGGTGTGGATCCTTACTTGGCTCAAAGAAAACTCTCGCTGTCAGAATAATAAATGTGTGAAGGTATGCCATTTTGAAAGAGATGAGCTCTTTTGCATCGAAATTGACCAAAGCTGAGCCATTTTCATCACCTAAAGTTGGCGCAGAGCAAAGCTTAGAAAGACAGACATTTACTGGTTGTGTTTCCTTTACAAATGTGCACAGAACTTTGTTGCACACAACAAAATCGGCAACCAAGTTGACACAATTTTTCAATTGCTAAATTGTGCCAAAAGCCCCCAAATAATTTTGCAATTGCAGTGTTTCGCTTAAATAAAAAATATTAGAATCACACGTGAATACGTTTGTTCGTCTTCCTACCACTTCCTGTTGTCTTCTTTGTCTTTTCCGCCAGTAGTAACATCCGCTTGTTGATCACATGACTGGTGTGATGCGAAAAAAAAAGTGCTTCCATTGCAGTTTCGCAAAGTACACTAGTTTGAATCTTACCTCAAATTTAAACACCTTGTTCTTTCACACAGGACCCGACTTGCTCCGAAACTACCTCAGCCGACTTGTCCCTATCGGTATGTCATTGAGGAGTGTGTTGCGTAACAGAGACGAGTTGACCTATACTCCCCTCTCCCAATCGGTCCTTTCGTAAAACACACAGAGAAGGCAAAATGGCGACTTAAAAAGACTCGACCGCCTACCTACTTTGTGGCAGCTTTTACATCTCAGCTCCGAGTCTCGCTAATGTGGACTCTGAGCTTATCTAAACTCTCCTGCAGCAGCTGCAGTAATACTTATCTTGATTCAAATTTAATGAGCCAAAGGTGAACCCTGGGGATTTCCTGCAAACAAACCCTGAGGATCAGGAATGCAAACATATTTTGCATTCCTCATGCCAGACAACCAGAATGCTTCTTCCTGATGCATTTGCAAGAACAATTAGCTCTTTACAAACTGATTCTTCGGATCTTGCTTTCGTCAGAGAAGGCGCTTTGACACTACTCAATGTTGCAGTGATGTTACATTTGGCATTAAGTAAAGTAAATAACGTCAATTTTACAAGTTGATGTTTTATTAGTTCACTGCAAACAAACCCTGGCCTGAAAGTAGCAAATAAAGATATTAGATAAAGTTATGCTTTATTTCCACCAGCATGCTTTTGCTGAAAAACATGCATCTGGTTACAGCTGCTGTGTTGGCAGTAGAAGAGTGTAGTTGGCTGTTGTACAGACCTCAGTGCCTGCCATAAAACCGTTTTCCTGCTGTGCTAAACCAAAGCTTCACCAAACGTTGTTAATGGCATGAATGCACCTCTGTAATTACCTAATATACATTCATTATCCGCAGTCCTATGCAGTATTGGTGCTGCATTTAATGACAACTGCTAGGAGATCCGAACTGTGTTTCTGTTTCATCAGATTGACAGTCGTACTCAAAAAAGGATGAAACACTAACCTGAAGGAAAAGTTGCTTCTGAAGGCATGCTATTGTATCCAACCGTCTTCCCCTATTTATTTATTTTTTAAATGGCACATAAGTCACATTTTTATTACATTTCAAAAACCTGCAACTTTAACTCAGTGTTGTGTCAAGTTTTGAGAGCCGCTGAATTATTTCAGCGCAGCATTGGTTTCATATAGGCGGTTTGGCGATACTCGCAGCGTAACCTTGAATCAAAAGTACCATCACATTTTAATTTGGACTTGCGCAAAAAAACAAAAAACAAAACAATATGCATAAACAATGAATGGCATAATCTCAGTGATTTCTTCTACCGCTAAAAAACCCGCTAAATGTCAAATTGAAAATGTAAATTTTATTATTTTTAATCGGATACCTATGTTTCAGCAAAAAATAAAGTACAAAAAACAATTATGTTCAAAATTTTGGTGAGATTATCTGGCCAATCGAGAGATTCACTGCATAAACGTGTTGAAGTTGAATTTATTTCTTGACTGAGCCTCTTTCTGATTCTGCCAGCCGTTGAGTCTGTATTAATAGTTGCTGTATGATGAATAATGCTGCAATGAAAAATGACTGTGTCTGGAGAAAGAGGGATTAGTGTGTGTTTGTGCGTGGAAGAGGAGGAGATGGCAGAGGATCCTGAGAAATCTCAAGCTGGTGCGCTGGTGAAAAGAGGCCGCCTCTGCTCCCCCACAGTCACAGATCATCAAACCCACCGTGCCCCGCTGTCTCAACTCCGCGTTACCCCTACGCACACTCCCTCTTCTCATATACGCTTACCCTGAATCAGGCTCCTCGTCCCGGATCAAGTTATAGCGAAGACGGAATTGGAGCTAAGCTCGGTGCCACGTAGAGATCTCCCTTTGTGGTCTGTGAAGAGATGATTTAAAGTCTCCGCTTGTTCTCCGAGACCGGTTTTAATCCTCACTGCAGGGAAAACGATGACACTCACGCTGTTGATTTACAGCCATCTGAAATTGATGCAGCTGTCTTTATAAATGGATGTTGGAGGAAGTGTTTGGTTTTCTTTTTGGAAAAAGTGAAAAGCTGTAAAGTGCCCGGTAAAAGTAACTTGAACAGCTTCGTATTTGCAGACATGGAGACTGAAATGTTTGCCTGTTGTTCTTGGGGAACCAGCTTGAGCTCTTCAGATTGAATTGAGAGCATCTATAAAAGGAAATCTTTTACATTTTCAACTGGATGGACACTTGGTGACTTTTGCAGAATATTGACTGTGCTTTTTGAAAAAAAAAAATGTTTTTTTTAGGGACATCAAATTAAAGGAAGCAAATTAAAAATGAATGCCACACTTCTTTTTAATTTTTGCATTAAATATTCTATTTAATAATTCTGTTTTATTACTTAAAAAATCCAATGAGACACAAGGCAGGCTGTCAAAACAAGAAAAATTTAATACTTTATTATTATTTTATTTTATTTTTTTAGCTGCTTCCATTTTTTTTCTTTCTTTTATAGGTTGCTCCTTCTATTCTGTTTCTCCCAATACGGCTCCAGGATGGTGGATGTTTAGTCTATTTTCGGACGCCGGTAGAGTTTTGCAGCAGTAGTTGGTTTAAATACAGTCGGCAAAATGCCACGGGGGTCATGTCTGAGGAAGTCCCAGACCACAGAGCACTTTGTCTTCATTGTTGTCTCCTCCTGTCTCCTTCTCTTCAGCTCCTTGTGAAAACAAAGACAGAGGCTTGTCGATGACATGTATATGTTGTGTTAAAAAGGAGAAGGAGAAGAAAGAAAAACTTGTTTCAGGTGCAGCATTTCACTTTAAAGGAAGAGGCTGACAGCTAAATGCCTTTGTTATCAGATTCTATTGAAGCCGAGCTGCTGCCCTCTCTGCGACAGCCCGCATGCGTTTGAGTTAAAGTGACTCAAACGGCTTTACTACCACTCTCCCGCTCGCGTCGCCGCGCTGCCTGTGTGCGTCTGTCTGAGCGCACAGACAGACGCCTGCTCAAGCGAGGGAGACCTCTGCCATTGTTGAGTTTTTTTATTTCTTTATTTTTTTTCTTACACGCTGACAGCCGGGACTAAAAATAACCCAGTGCTTTCCAAATTTGTCATCTTTAAGGCTACACTGTTTTGTTTTGAAGCGTGCTTCTCCCCGGGAGAGCTCGAGGTCAGCGCGGGCCACTTCCTGTTCCTCTTTGTTGTGCTAACGGCGGTTCCTAAATGTACTCAATCATACGAAAATAAAGTGGGACACCTGGGAAGGAAAGGCCTGCGCTGTCATCTTCCTGAGTCGCACAGCAGGTAGTCCAGCTGCGACTGACAGTTTTTCCTTCTTTTACCCTGTCTTGTTTTTCCTTGCGTGGGAAGATAAGTCAGATCACGGGGAACGATGCCGCCGCGACAGCAGCCTGTAGAGAGAAATGAAGCCAAGTCTTCAGTAAACTCTTCAGTAAAACCCACTGAAGAGTTAAACTTGGACTCACAATAGGATGTGCAGCTGTGTGCGTGCGTCTCGGCCCTCGCTTGTAAAAACCCAAAGAAAAGTTCTGTCTCTTTAAATAACCAAACAGCCTAATAGACATGCACGCTGCTATGCAAACAGCAGACTATGTAAACTTCCCAGATGATCTAGGCAAATACGTTATGTAAGTCGTTCTCAGGTGCTTTTGGACTGAAAACAGACACAGGCTTCTTTGACTAAGACTTTACTGAAAGGGTTTCTGACGTCCTACGACTTTTTCACCCTCTGTTTATGTTGAGAAGTGGTTTAGAGCGACATGTGGTTGCCCCCTTCCTGTTTCTCAGAGGTTTGTTAAGAGAAGGCCGGCGCTCATCATTTTGGCCTACCAGGAAGTAACCCGTGATGTTTCCACAACGTTCCTCTGTACTGCATTACATTTAAATCCAGCCCAGTTCTGATATACTAACCCACTGTGCCCATTTTCACACAAACAAGTGATCACAGCTTCGTCTAAGCTCAGTCATTTGCCCGTGCCAGTTCCTTCACCTGACACAACAAACACTCTTCAGACTGATGCTTTTCTTTCACCATGCAACTACAATGAATTTGACTGTTTTTTTCCCCCTAAATTAGGAACGATTGAAAAAAAAACAAAAGTAGCTGCTAACATCAGTTAGCCCTCCAAACCTTCAATATGTTTATGAAAATGCTGTTTAAGTTGGACGGTTAAAACGAGAAATGCTTCAGCATTTCGACCGCTGTCGCAAATTCACCTCAAACCTCCACACAACCAAAGTGGCGTCTGAGTACCACGACTGCCTCCAACAAAAAAATGGGCTACTCAAATGTTTGTTCACAAAGACCGGACTGACCTCCAAATTGCACAAGAAGGAGGGACATGGCGAGTTCTTAAGTCTGCTGTTCAAATGCAAAATGTATTTGCCACACTGTCAAACATTTACTCTCACATCATAAGTGGGGATTAGGAGGGGGATTAAAACGAGCAAGGAGTGGCTCACATTATATATCCTGCACACTTGCACAAACAGAGTGTGTGTAATTGTTTAACTACTGTTTTTTCAATGGGTGTGGGGATTATATACTTTTTGTCCTTTTCTAGGTGCAGAGTAGCCAAATAAAAACCAGCCCCCTGTACTCCGCTTTGCTTCATACAGAAAGGGGCAATTGAGGAACGATTGCGTCCTGTAGGGGTGGACTCTGACGTTTTAAATTTCATTGAGAACATTTGGATATCGCGTGTGAAACGCACCAGCTCGACGCCATGAAGCGTACGGTGAGTCGCCTGCGCTGTAAACAACCATCCTCTACTGCAGAAAGAGAAGCGCAGAGCCAAACAATTCGTTAATTCAGTATTAGGAAAACTACAATTCTGATTGACCCGATTGAAATTCTACCAGATTTCTGTGCATTATTCCTTTCCATTATATGGAAATGTATGAATAAAATATTTATTAGACATATATTTTGGTTGATGTCATGACTGATGGTGTGCTGCATCAGTAAGATCTACTCTTTCAGTAAGGCTGAAGGTGATGGTGCAGAAACCTCCAATGTCTGTGAGCATAATCTGCACAGTTTTAGGAAACATTCTGGTGTAGAAATGGTTCTTGTGACTGTAGCACTGTGAACAAAAAACAAAATTAAATCAAACAATTGAAACAATGCCCAATATTTTCAGAAAACACACACAATATTATTTCCTGAATCTTTAAAGTTTCGTAATCTTATTCTAGTGCTCAGTTTTATTCTGTGCCCTGGAAGTAATTACCAAAGATTAACTGTTTTAAAAGGCACGGCTGTTTTATGTATTTTTTCTTTTACTGTTGCTCTTTAATCACTCTTTTGGGGTTTTTCAATCGCCATTTCAGGCACTGACGGGTTTCTTGTTGCCAACCTGAATTACAGACCCGAGTTTGGGCGTGTTAGGTGATGGTGTGTTGGCTTTGCGGTCGCCCGCTTCTGTTTGAACTCTTGCCAGCGCAGAACACGGTTGTTCTTCTGGCTTGGACCGAGGCCAGAACACGACTGACCATCTTTGAGGCGGAAAAACCTTTTTGTTCAGTTTGACTGATGCCTTTGAAATTGGGACAAATGCGGTGTGTGTGTGTGTGTGTGTGCGTGTTTGCGCCTGAGCTGCAGCTTTCTGAGGATTTTCAAACACTTTGGTTTGTGTGTGTTGTGGGGACTCTGGAGACAATGTGGCTCCTTTCCAGTTCAGGGGTGGTCAAATAAAAACAAGACGGGGGGAACGCTGAGGGACGCCGCAGGAATGACAACAACATTCAGCAGAGGTTTCCACTGGAGCGCTGAGCTGCTGTTTTAAAGAGAAATCTGCTTTATGCTACCTCTGCTTAATCTGTTGTACAATTAATAACTTACAGGCTGTCAGGAATATGACACTTAACTTGATCACTCACTATCTTACCACATTTTACGGCTAAAGTATGCGGAATACTTCAAATGCCGCATATTAATCAATCTTTTGACCTGAAGATCATTCCTTTAGGTTAAAAGCCAGTTAGCATTTGACCTAACTGGGTTTTGACCAGCTAGGTCAAAAACCAGTTTGAAATATGTGGTCAAACTGGCTTTTTGTCGAAAATCTGACGAAAATCTTTTTGTTGAAAAGCCGACGAACGACAGCCGTCAGATAAATGCGAGCTGATTGGCTGACACCGAAATCATGATGCAACCTTGTTGGAATCTCCAAGCGCTTGTTGAAATGTTGGAATTATTCAGTGTCAAATCCTAAAAATCCAGATGTTTCCTTTTCCCTAATGATGTCTGGTCTCTTTGTGCTTTTATTTATTTAAGAGTCACTGGACTTTTACACAGATCTGTTGTTTCACAGTAAAATTGCAGCCAGTAGCTTGAAAAGTATACATTTTGCAGGTTTTTCAGTGCAGCAGATTATTCCTATTTACTTGATAGAATGTGAACTGAAGTGTTTTAAAGTGATTTGTGTGCTGAAAATACAAATGTCTGAGTTTGTGAGCTGCATTTCAAACCTTCAGATGAGGAAGATTTCATGCAATTGGAGCCTTGTTAGCTGGCACAACCCTGGAGGCGAACAGCACTGAACTGCCTCAATGTTGCCGTATTAACTTTCCTCCCTTTGACATGACTGATGGCTTCGGTGCAGCATGCGTGTGACTTAGCTTATTTCACTCTGTGGATGATGCAACTTATGTATCATTAAACAAAGGCTGCTTCTCATTGTTTCAGAAACTACAACAAAACATTTGCTTTGTCCTCTGTATGTAATAGGTTGAATATTTCATTACTTTTTAAAACACGTGAATATATTCTGTTCATATATCAGAAGAAGCTCCTCTAAAAGCTCACAAAATCCTAGATTTTAAAATAAAATTCTGCCTGCATCTTGAAAATGAGTCGCAAAGAAATTGCCTGACTAACTGTCTTCACTGATTAAATGCTACTTCTTGTATTTTAGTCTTCCAGGATTGCCTTGAAATAATTAAAACGTATCTAATTTAATTGCCATTTTGGCTTTCCCACTGTGACTCTTGAAAGTGAGCTCCATTTGCTGGCGTGTCTGCGTTGCGCTGGGGGCCATTTTCAGTGAGCCACGCAACAAATATCTCTTGTCTTTGGGAACTTAAAACACCCTTCTTTATTAGGATTTGTATTTCACGTGCGGTACAATTTGGGTACGAAGGACTGACGTGACGCGTTTCTTCTCTGTAGACCCGTGTCTCATCGTGATGCCGCCATGCGTGGGCGAGGCCGACCGCTTCAGCCTGGAGGCGCTGCGGCACATCCACAAGCAGCTGGACGATGACAACGACGGAGGGATAGAGGTCAACGAGAGCTTGGAGGTGAGCTTCTTCTAGGGTTATATGGCGTCACTGGTACGATTTGTGTTCAAGACTCAACAACTCACCCAAACTATCAACATGGAGAACAGATGGCAACCTTGACAATTCAAAGAGATGTTTCTGCAGCCAGTGATACAAAAACCCAAGTGTGTTCATAAAACCGACAGGAAGAAAAAGAAAACTTCTGCAGTTTTTGAGATATGTCATTGTAAATTACATTTTTTGGTGGATGAAATTTTTCAGTTTTTTTGCTTTAGGTTTTTGAACAAAAAAGTAGATGGAACAACATCCGAGGAGGCAAACTGAGTTCTTTGTGTGACTATAAATAAGAGAAAATAAAAATGAAGTAAATAAAATAAAGCACAACTTTTAAGATCAGGTCGTTTTCAGTAGCTGAAATTTGATAGAGCTGCTGAACTAATCTGTTAATCTCCACTCATTAACATGGTGATGAGAATATCCGTTAGGACTGTCACCCTGCATTTTTATTTCATCACAATCTCAACACAACGTTGTAACAATATTCAATCACTAAAAGTGAAAGGACAAAAGTATTACTGGCACGCATAATTTTCATCGCTAAGTCATGACTCAGCCTCCTATGAGCTGGAGATATGTGTCACTGCACATGATGGTGGCGACATCATGCTGCGGACATGTTTTTCTTCATGTAGTTGATGGTGCGTTCCTCAATGTTTCTGGAATGATAATGAAACTTCAGCATCTAAACTGGTTGAAATTTGGGCATATTTTATAACTGCAGCAGGAAAATGTTCCCGAAATTCAAACAGTCTCATGTTTCACTCTAGAATCAGCCAGACTCAACCCAATTTATAGGTAAACAGACGACTTATCAGGAAAACAACCCACTAAAGTATGTCCAGAATAATGTGGAGGCTTCTTAATTGCTACATAAAAGCACGAATGAATGAGGTGGGAAATTTTGCACATCAACGATTCATAACAATGCTCTTGTTAGAACAGTTTGAAGGGACCAAAGTGCCTCAAGGTAGAGTGGTAAATAATGCATAAATATCAGGAAACAGAAAGGAAAATCTTCTAAAGAGATAAAATTCACAATCCTTGGCCTCACAGCTAAATGTCGGCAAAATTAAACCTCAGAGGTTTTAGAAAATAAATGCTTAACCTTACTACTGCCACTTCCCTAGATTTTTAATTACTAATCTTGCATTTTGTACATTCAGCCAGAGAATGTTTTCCTGAAGCTTTTTCATTTGCCTGATGGTGCTTTGTTGAAGCAGGATCTCTTGTCCGTCGCAGGTCGACGCATGTAAACATTTAGAGAGAGGGGGCCTCTCACATGAGTCAAATGATTTTAATGCTTAGCAGTCAGTCGTCAAAGGATGAGTCAGCATTCCTGTCATAGCGACCCGTCATCACAACACCGAGCAATGCTATGACGGATTTTATATTACGGCCGGGCGACGAGGAAAACGTGTCTTTCAGTTTCGATTTCGGCTCCAAATAAACACAAAACTGTGGGATTGCTGGAAGAAAACGTAGCAGCATTCACTCATTCATAATATCAGTGTACCAGAGACAGCAATGTTTGTGGTCTTTGAATCGGATTCAGACTAATCCCTTAACAATGTCTCTGACCTCTCACATCCCAGCTTAAAGCAGCTGCTTGGAGGTGTTCGGTTGACTGGAAGGGTAGATTGACGCACTCTGATCCGCCACTCTCCATTTCAGTCTCTTGCTCATAAACGTTTGACTACCGCTTTTTTTTTTTTCCAGGAGTAATTTCAAGTGTTGAAGGAGTTCTGGTGTGAGATAGCTGTACCCCGCTGCCCTGCCGTGGCGCCTCAGTTAGTCGTTTGGGTCTTGTTTTAACCGATCCCTGTCCACATTAGGGCATGTGTGTCAGTGATGTGCTATAAACAGCCTGGTTTAACTTTTGTCTACTATGATGATAAATCATGTTCTCTTTTTATTAGAGACGGATTCCAAAACACCATTGAGTCTCTTTTTCCCAAATTATTATTTTCTTCTTTGTCTTTGTTTGCTTCCTGAAGAGAGATATCTTCAGATATTGTGACTAAATTTCTTTGAATTTGACATATTTCCTTTGTTGCCATAGACTCAGTGCGGGTCACTTTATTAGACACACCTTACTCATACCCGGCTCAACCGCCTTTTGAGATCCCGTGGCCATTGGAGGACCTTGAAAGTTGCCGTTATGATGTTCAAGGAACCAGTTGGAGATGATCTGAGCTGTTTTACGGGGCGGATTAGTGGCCATCAAAAGATGGGTACACTGTGTTCAGAAAGGGACAAACGTGGTCAGCAACGGCCCCGATCCATGACTAGCTCAGCTTTTATGCCATTTCTGCTAAACGCTCACTCTATCATTGTAATGATAGAGTGACTCGTTGGACCAGGCAAACTTTTTTTTTTTCTTCTTGAAATCTGTTAGCTGTCCGTGTTTTCGTGGTGCCTTTAGGGACGGTATTCTGCATACTTTGGTTGTAGCAAAAAGATATTTCAAGTGCTGCTGCACATTTTTTTTTGACATCAATGCTACTCATTTCTATCTTTCCCTCGTTTTGACAATTTCTTCTAATCCCGGGCTATGAATGTGTGAGAACCTGCTAGTATATGAATCGCTTTTGAAATATTCGGACCAGTCCATCTGGCTCTGACAGCAAAGTCACTTGAACTTTCATTAAACCGGTCTTTCCTGCATGAGTTTTGTGACCTCGTGTTTGGCTGAGAGAGCCACTGAGCAGGGGAGGCTAATAAAGCGGCTGGTGAACATCTTTTTAATTGCATGTTAACCACTACGATGCGGTTAACATGCAACATGTTAACATGTGGTTAACATATCGCTGAGGGCCAATAAATTATACTTCTGTATACCTTAAACTTTTGCTCTGTCGCCCCACTGCATGATGCTACCACCACCGTGCTTGACGGTGTTTGCAGTGTCCTTAGCTTCGAATGCCTCTATTTGGCATCAACAGCTCAATCTATGTCTTGTGTGTCTATAAACTCTTTTTATTTAGACCGATATGATAAATTGGATTAATCGTGATGAATCGATTAATTAAGTTACCGTCAACTAATTTAACAATCGGTAACTGGAAAACACAGACTCAAAAAAGGTCATATTCTGAAAGACGGCTAGAGCTGTTTTCAGAGAACCGGGGGGACGGCAGCTGTAACTTGGTCAGTACTGTACAATATATATATATGTATATATTGCATTTCAGTAAAAAAAAAAAAAAGAAAGTTTTTCTTTTTTAAAAAGCAATTCCATTATTTGTTCATTTGCATCTTTTAGTGTCTTTCTAATACCGTACACAAAGGCTTGAGCGGTTAAATGAAAAAATGAGCCGAATGTTCAACTTCTTATCCGATAATTGATTAGTCATCAGGAAAACTGACAGATTAATCGATAACTAAGATCACTGTTCGCTGCAGTCCTACAAATCCAAAAACTTGCCCTTGCTCTAAGAAGTCCAGAATTGGTTGTCTTTGACCTTTAAGCGATTTTGGTGATATTTGATTGTTTTATCATAAATTGAACCTGCTCGAACACGGTCCTGCAGGCCGTACCTCTCTGCTCACTTCCAGGGATTTTGGATGACGCCTGTGGGGTCTGTTGCTGAGCACAGCCGCCGGGGGACGGCAGGTGCATGTCCTCGCCTCTCAGTGGCGGGCCGCCCGGCGGCCAAGTGGATGTTCGGCTGGATCGTGTTGCGTCTCTTGAATTGCACGAACTCAGACCTCGTCAAGGACCGGGGCGGTGGTGGTTTTGGTGCTTCTGTTGCAGACTTTTATTAGTTCTCGGCTGATTGTGCACAACGTCGCCCAGGGACCGTCAGCGCAGAGGCGTACTGTATATGCAACACGTCTTAGAACGACACGAAGGCGGAGAAACCCGAGTCGGGCAGAAGCAGCGTCGAGGGTATGATACGTCTATAAAAAGAAGATTCTTAAGGGTGTTTGTTGACTTGTCTGAGAATGTTCAACACAGAGATTTGATTTACAGCTTAAACTTACATCTCGTGATGCTCGCATCACCAAATATAAGGTGTCATGTGGTAAAAAATTAGAAAATTAGCTGTTTCTTGGGGTGTTGGGTTGAAGACAGAGATGCATGAAGAAATCAGTGGTAAGAAGGATAGAAATATAGCAAAAATGATGACATACTGAACAGAAATGAGAAATAAAAATAATTTTTTTAAAAATACAAAGTTACCCGAACTTGTCTTGGTTGTGGTTAGATGGAGGATTTAGATTCAGGAAAAAGACTGAGAATAAATATAAAGGATGCACAATTAAGATTGCCAGATTAAAGCCGCCTTTAATATGTTCTGGTTCATTTGTTTTGAATAAGAGAATAAGATGAACAGCCATTTAAATCACTGATCTCTGTGCAGCTGTCCTGCTAATGGTGTCCAGTAGCCTCCAGATTTGATGCAAAAGCAATTTCCTGCCGATTTATACTTCATAATTAATTCACGGAGCCAAGAAAAAAGCGATTGTTTTTAGACCACCCCTCTCACCGAGAGGACGCTTGTGTAAGTATTTATTTAATGGAATAAATTAGACGGCTCTGTGAGACTCAGATACATTGCTTTTGACTCCTACTGCTGAGCAAATAGTGCCCTGCAGTTCTGAACTTGGGTTCACTTCTAAGTTTTGATCGAAGCAGGAAATGACAGCAGGGAAATGCTGTGGTAAATATGGTCACTGGGACGGAGCAAAACCGGATAAACGCGGTTCGTCCTCTTTGTACCAGGAAGGACTGTGTGATTCCTGCAAAAGGGATTTTTGAGGAGTATAAAAGCATCATAATATTCCGATTAATCATCGGAATGGAAATAATGAAGCTCGTTTCAATTTCTCATGAAATAAATTAATTGCTGATTAGAAAATGGAGATACTACTGAAAGTTTCACAAGACTCTTTCATCGGGTCGCTAAGGGAAAATGTTTTTTCATGATTATTTACTCGAAGTTAATAACAGCACTTGGCCTTGTCAAGTTAAAAGATTAAACATCTTCAGTAAATTAAGGTGCTTAGATGGCCGTTTATTCATGTTTCTGTCTGTTTGTGTACTTCTGAAACAATAAAATCCAGTATAAATTCAAATGCTGTATCAATATTTTGATTTTTAAGAAAACAATCAAATCAACTTGAAGTGTAATCATTGCAGCGTGGAAAAAAAAGACTTTTTAAAATGAAGCATTAAAAGCCCCAATTTATGACTTTGACCCCCGACAAGTAGATGCAAAGTTCTGACCAGGACTGTAAATCTGCAGCCCCTCGGAGAAACAAAAAAATGAAAATTACGAAATGATGGACGGCTTCACCGGCGTTCACGTCTTCATAAATCGCAGCCCCGCGCTGTTTGTGTCATGTTAATGACATATTAGGAAGGATAAATCAAAGTCGCTGTCCTCCGTTCTGCAGACTCTCTCGCTTAGAATAATGTTGATCTCCGCGTGCGTTTGTCATCTTTACAGCGACGATGATGGAAAAACAGTGGATGTAATAACTTTCGCTCGTTAAACGAGAACGGATCGACTGCTTAGCTGAGTATCACGGCGACACAGAGTCAGTGGAGCAAAGGCTCATGGGAGGAAAACCAAAACCCAGCCAGCTCCTCCTGAAGCAGGAGTCTGTTCCGAACAAAAATATTCTTTGTTCTCTGCTGGGTAAGTGTGTGTCAGTGTCAGTCTGGGTCTGATTATGTCACAAACCGCTGTTGTGCAGACAGCGTGTTGTCACACCAGCACTGATGCTTGATTCTCAAAGGGAGTCTGGACTCTCTATTCCTACAAAGATTTCTACCGACGGTTGTTTGGAGAGACTCCCTCCTCTGCTCCGTTCAGAGTTAAGATCTGCTCCGATCTTAACTCTGAACCACCAAAACCACAAATCACCTGCGCTCAGACCTATCTGTATATTTGTGGCTTGCTGCTCTGACTTTATATGGCTCTATAAAGTACCTCAAAGCTTCCTTTGACTGCATGCAAAGCATCTCTGCCAACCTGCCGGGAAGTGGATTCGTGACGCTGCTCTGCGACTATTACCATATAGATTTCTAAAGAAAAGGCCTTTTTGTGCTTTTTTGCATCTTATTCATAGTTTGTTGTATTCCGTTGCCTTAAGCTTCACTCCCCTTTGAGGGAGTGAAGTCGAAAACTGATGTTTTGAAAAGTTTTCTGCTTTTTCTCTCCATGCTCATGTGGTTTGGGAACCATTCTTTAGGTCTTTGCCAGAAAGTCATTTTGTTTCACCCTTAACTTGTAGTGGTTATTAAGGACGAATATTACACACACTGCTGTGTGAGGGTGTGTGTGTGTGTGCGTGTGTGGGTGTGTGTGTGTGCGGGTGTGTGTGTGTGTGTGTGTGCGCGGGTGTGTGTGTGTGTGTGCGGGTGTGTGTGTGTGTGTGTGTGTGTGTGTGTGGGGGGGTGTGGGGGTGTGTGTGTGTGCTGCGGCTGTTTGCTTCTTTCACAATTTCCATCAATGTTTCAGTGTTCTCAAGAAGGCGTGAGGGTACAGAGAACACCCACATGCGCCAGCCGAAGCGATGTCCGTACGGGAACAAATGAAGCCATCCATCCACTTATCTTATGCTACACACAGACCCGTTGCCAGTGTGACCGACTGACAACAGTTGCATTAGCCTACAGAGCAGAGATTACATTCAGGTGTGTCAAGATCCCACAGCGAAAAACACACAACATTTCCCACAAAGGGAGCAGAGCAGTCAGCCCGTCACAGTGCTGTATTTTTTATGCTTGATGTTTATTTTGCGATTATTGATAAGTGGTCGCCTGAACACGGCGGAGCTTTTTTTTTAGTTGATCTAAGCAGCTCTTCTGCTCTTGATCTATCAGAGGGTTGGTGTGTGAGTCGCCCTATTTCAGTGTCGACTGAACAAAAACACAGGAAATTATGCAGCACATGTACATGCTACAATTGTCAAAGCCAAGCTAACATAACTGACCTACTTATGCTGCCTAGCATAGCCTACACTATTTTTTTTATTTTATTTAAAACTTTTTATTGACTTGTGAAATGTGACATCCTTAGACCTCCCTAACTATCATAATGTTGACAACTAATACTGCTGTTAATTTTTTAAAATACATTTTTATATGTCATGTGTACTTTTAAGATTTAGTGTGTAATATTCACAACTTGTCAGCTAAAAACAATGGCAGTCGTGTAATCGTGTGTGCGGGACCTTGGACATGTGACGTCACATTTCAACTCGTCAACACTTACTACAGACTGAATTACTGTAATACAACGTAAAACTAAATAACAGTGTCGATGATGGATTTTACTGGGCTGGTGCCTGTTTGTGTGTTCCCACGACCAATCATGATCCGGCATGACTCCGTGTCATTCTTTACAATGTGGCTTTGTGTCTGACTCCTAATGAAGTCACCGTGGCATCTGTTAGTATCTGTGCTTTTTTTTTTTTTTTTTTTTTTTTTTATCGCGTTGAAGACGTTCCTGATTACGGCCTCCCCAAAAACTCTCGGCAAAGTCTTGCTCTGACAGCTCGAGAGCCCTTTAACGTCTGATTCGAGTTAAGTCAGCGCTCGTCTCAGACTTTTAATTTTACAGGCCATTCAGACAGCTCCTGCGAGCAAAAGGATTCTTCTTTCAATCCTTGACAGGAGGAACATTTGCGGCAGACAGCCTTTCAACACCAGGCTGCCATTATGTATTCAATGTCAAACTCACAGCGGTCCTCCAGCTCAGGCTCTTGGAGCACACACTGGAGACGTGTGAAAGCGCTGCGAGGTTCTGATGTCGACTGCCACGTCTGCATATCTGTGTCATAGTTAATACTGTTGTTGGACTGTTTCTACAAAATACAAGAGCTGATGAAAACATGTGTCATGGTGAAGTCAACAGACGGAGATTTAAAGCCTCTTAATTACAACGTTCCCTCAGTTCTCTAACTCGGATACTGGATTTGAGCTTTTTGTTTGTTTGTTTTGTTTTGGTTTGTTTTTCTGGGTCAGTTGGGACTTCTTTCTGTGTTTTCTGCCCCAAAGTTGAAGAGGGATCTTTTTCTTTTTTTTATCACCTTTTATTTGCTGCTAATGTGAACAGAAAGCAAACTGTGCTAAACTTTTCACTTCTTACACTTTATTTTAGGGCTCAGGAACTTTTAATTTCTCTGTAAATTTCCACTTTGATATTTTCACAAGTTTTTTGAAAAGAAAAAGGGAAAACAGAACTATTTTCAGTCCTTAAAACTCATGTAAATTATGTTAACAGAAGGGAGTTGCTGTTTTATACTTGTACTTGTTAAATACTTTATTATGTTGCACTCGCCAACAAATAGACAAAACAAAAGCACTTTAATTTCTAAGATGTTTCAAAATTATGTGAGGGAAATTTCAGGATTGCTTGTATTTCTCTTCTCTCTTCTCACAAAGTTGAAATTTACTAGCCTAACCCAGTTTGACCGCTGGGCTAAATTACTTAAAGGAATGGAAATCTTTGGAATGTTTTATATTTTTATTATTATTACTTCCATTTTAAATCATCTGAGACCATTTTAGCTGAGTTTCTTCACACGGTTTCCCCTCTCCAATTAATGTTGAATGAAAGTACACTGTTCTTCTGAACAATATCAGGAACAAATTGATTTTCCGGCACCTACAACATTTCCTCCATCCATAAAAAGTGCGTCTGTTGACCCAGATGGTCTTCTATTGCACTACACCTACTCATAAATGGCTTAGCATTTATTTTCAGGATTAAGAAAATGTTTTAGTGTCAGTAGTTTAGTTAGGCAGCCCCTAATCGACATGCAAAATAAACCCTAGACTTAAAGGAAACAGTCAGGGTGGAAAAGTATCATACTTCAGCGGTCCGACGCTCGTCGGCATCACAGTCACAGGCTGGTGGAGAATCATAAACAAGCAAGATGACAGGAGTTCTGCCTTTTTCAAGCGCACGCCCGGGCCACACACATGTGCACCCAGGAGCCTGGGATGAATGCTTTGAGGTGTTTGGTAGTCAGCTCTGATCCTTGCTAATGCTGCTGGTGTTCTGGCTGTTCTCTTCGTTCGGCTTTGTCTCTGCAGGGGCTCTCAGTTCTGAGCGCCAGAAAACTAAAACGCACGCACGCACGCACGCACACACACACACACACACACGAGCACACACGAGCACACACGAGCACACTTTTTTTTTTTTCTCTTCAAGGGTTTAAAAAATAGAATAGATCTGTGGAAGAGGTGCCACTTCCACTGAGGCTATGTGTGTGTGTGTGTGTGCGTGTGTGCGTGTGTGTGTGTGTCAACGATCCAAAGAAAGACTTAAAGACAAAACTCTTGTGTTTTTAAATCCAGACAAGCACAGCTATCCATACCTTCCTCTAGCTTTGTCTCTCTTCTTCTTCTTTTTTTTTTCCAGTTTATAATAGAAGACATGAAGCAGCAGCAAACCAACAAACACAGCAACCTGCACCGTGAAGACCAGCACATCACAGTGGAGGAGCTGTGGAAGGGATGGAAGAACTCTGAAGGTAAAGCAAAGTTATTCGTCAGGAAATACCCGATCTGTCCTGAGCGAACCTCTGCTTTCTGGTTTCACCCTCCGTTTTCCAACCTAAACTCACCTTTGAGAGGTTGCCCAGACAGGTGTGAGGTGCCAACGCTAATGGTTTTGCATCGTCAAAAATAAACCACAATCACTCGAGACAAAGCGATAATTAAAAAAATATTCACACACTTCAAAACAATAAATAAATCACACAACAAGGGAGTGGTCGCTTTCAGGTAAACACCAGCTGAGATGTCGTCCCCGAAACACGCTCTGGTGTGTTCCTGCACTTCAGGCTTAACCTGTTCGGTTTGTTTGCCTTTTAATCGACACTGATGGCATCCTTTTACAGTAAGGCTCACATGAATCGCTGTGCTTAATAACTGTGTGAGCATTCCCGTATATTTTGCTGGAGCGCTTCCTTCTTCTTTCCTGAAACTTCATCTCTTATTTGCTGAACCGCTCTGCTGCAGTTCAGTTCACCTTGTCCGCGTTATCGTCCTTCATCTCACGGCCGGGCCCAGATGTTTTGACAGCGCCACACGTGTCTTTGGCGTGCTCAGGAAGTAAAAAAATAACAACAGAGAGTTAAGGTTTCAGGGGCTTTACATGTGCTTAAAGGCTTAATAATTTAATATCCGGGTTCAATAAGTGTGGTGAAGGATTTGAGTTTTGATCCTATTTTTTTTTATTTTGTTCTGATGTTAGAGGCTTTTATTTGCAGAAGATCTGCAAAGAGAGAGAAGCTGGGAAAGACATTCATCACCGATTATTTATTTATCTTATTCCGAACATTATAGCAGTCGGACCAGCGATGTTCTGTACTGTGAAGTTGAAGATCGCTGGTCTGACTGAATTTTTTTTCACTTTAATTAAATCTTTAAGTTCTGATCGTCTCACTTGATACAATGTCTGTATCTGCAGATTTTTCTTTACAGGCAGCCATCTTTTCTGACACAAGAAGGCGATGACGACAAACACTTAGAATAATTTAAACAAAGTGAAGTTTCACCACCGAACCCAAAACTCAACATATTTTAGGCACCGTCGCGACTCTTAACCTGGTTGTATAAGTGCGCAAGCTCTTAAACTTATAGTTTGTTGAAACACCCTTTGCTTTTTAGTTTTTGCCTGCTGTTTTGTTGGAATTTCTGGGTTGTTCACCCACACTGCCTTGCAGATATCATGCAGTGCAATTATTTCATCACATTAACTAGTAGAACCATTTATCCGAGAATGGAGTGGTATTTGGTTCTAAATGACCATTCTCACTTTTTAAAGTGACTCAACCCAGATCTGATTTGATAGTATTTTAGTCTTGATTGATGAACAACTTTTTGTCTTGTCATCATAATTCTGATTGACTGCAGACTTATTGTTTAGCTGTAAAGACTTAAATTAACACTGACCTGCAAGGCTGTTTTTGAATGAAGCTTACATTTTGCAATTTTTTTTAACAACTGTTTGCTTGGTTTCATCAGGTAATTCAACAAAATTTGTTTTGTTTTTATTTTTATAAGAAAATGCTCCTAACTTTGTTTCTTATCCTTTCAGTACAGACACAGAGAATACAGGAGACTGTCTTTATTTGAAGAATGTAGATGTCAGATAAACTTTATTTTCTGGTGATCTTATTCACAGCATTTGTGAAACGAAATGAAACAAAATCAGACCTGTGTAGCACTTTATTTGGACACATTTGAAGACTAAATATGAAAGTGTGGTGCAATAAATAAAGCATTTATCACTGCATATCTTTGTGTTTTTGTCCCCTAAAAGTTCTGCTGGGTTTTCAGTTGCATTTCGCAGGATAAATGCCACATTAAAGCTGCAGAAAGCTTTTGGGAAAAGTTTAACTGGGGTGTTTGCACTTCCAGATCAAGGTTAATTAATTTGAGTCCTTTGAGAGTTTTCTAACTCTTGTCTTTAACCTCTCATCAGTCCACAACTGGACCATGGAGGACACGGTGCAGTGGCTGAAGGAGTCGGTGGAGCTGCCGCAGTATGAGAAGAACTTCCGGGACTTCCGGGTCACAGGGAACACGTTACCTCGGTCAGTACAGCCAGGAGCTGCCGGTCTTCATCCCCTCTCTGCCTCAGTAGAAATTTAAATATAAGCTTTTCAATTTTTACAACAAATAATTGAAAGTAACCCTCCCCACACCTTCACCTAAAGCAACCAGTGATTTGAAAAAAAATCTGGATTCTGCTTCCCTCTGCTGGTTAAAAAATGCAACACAGGAAAAAAATGTTTGGAATATTTTAAATGGCAGACATTCCTCACGGCTTAAAGGTTTCCTTTCATCCTTAAGTCCGACATTCAACTTCGGTCCAGTCGCAGTGATCTGACTGACTGCTAACAAAGTTCTCAGTCACGAGTTTAAGTCTTCAGTAGAAGGAGCTGCAGATGAAGTTGTTATTGAAGGACTGTCATTAAATGAACTCCTGTGCGACGGGTGCAACGTGAGCCGCTGCAGACTGAATGTACTGAGTGACTGACTGTAACTAGGGGGAGGCGGTGGGTCTTTGGGGGGCTTCATGTTTCTCCGCCGAGCTGACTCATGAAGTGATGTCATAACCAGAGGGCTCGGTTGTTTTCTGAGCCGTTTTAGATGCTGATCGACGGTCCACCTGTCGGCCCCGTGTTTCTGTACGGAATGTTAAACATCCCGCAGATTTACTGTCTCGGGGGGCGGGGGGGAATATTAAAATGTGCTACTTTGTCATTTGAATTTATGCTCTGTTTGCGTTGCAGAATAGCGGCAAACGAACCGTCGTTTATGTCCATGCAGCTGAGGATATTAGACCAGCGGCACAAACAGAAGCTCAACCTGAAGGCGCTCGACGCCGTGCTTTTCGGGCCTCCTCTTCGTGAGTACGGCTTCTGTTGGAACGCGGCAAACAGGCTCCGCGTCTCCGCTCACCCCTCCCTCTTGTGTCCCCTGCAGGTCCGCAGCACAACTGGGTGAAAGACTTTGTCCTGATGGTCTCCATTGTGATCGGAGTGGGAGGCTGCTGGTTCGCCTACATTCAGAACAAATCCAGCAAGGTGCACATTTCTCAGATGATGAAGGATCTGGAGAGCCTTCAGAACGCTGAGCAGAGCCTGTTGGACATGCAGAGCCGGTAAGACAAGAGAGCAGACTAGAAATACTGAAGTATGCTTTTATTTAACTTTAGTCTTTTCTTTGCATCCAAAATGATCGTTAGATTTTATTCAAGTAGCATGCTAAATAGTCATGCTTGCCTATACTAATTTCTGCCAGTCGGTATTATTATTGCAATATTGAGCAACAGTTTGGAAATTACATGCTTTCTTGATATTGTGTAGTCATTTTAGACTAAGATAATGTAGTAAAAAAAGGGTCATAAGAAGCTGCTCTGGTCATATGAGACCAAAATTGAACATTTTCAGGCTACCTGCAAAACGGTGAGTGTGCATGTGTGTGCGCGCGTTTGTGTGTGTGTGAGCGTGTGTGTGTGCGCGCACGCGTTTTTGTGTGTGTGTGTGTGTGTGAGCATGTTAGGACAAACTAGTAGTGAAAGACGGAATTGGCATGTGGTGCAGATGTCTACTGTTCTGCAGGAGCAGGCCAGATTTGTTGCGAAGATTGATGGAGCTTTCAAAAAAGTCAATTGAAGGCAGCAAATGACTTGAATCTGAGGTGGAAGTTCATCTGATCCACAGCCAGAGCTTCACTTGAATGGTCTGGTCAAAGTTTGGATAGAAGTCAAAATTTGAATCTGTTTCAAGATGGGAGAAAACCGATGATCATAGATAACCATCAGACTGAGCTTGAGCTATTTTGCAAAGAACAAACCATGATTTCCAAATTTTGATGTAAAAAAAAAAAAAATGGAGAGAGAATATTAAGGATGGCATCTGTTCACTGTAGCGATTCTACAAGATGTTGAATCAAGAGGTTTGAATCCAGATTTATCGCATTTAGAGTCTTAAATAAATGTAAAAAAAGTATTTTGTCTCATTACATAAAACACATGGACGTTTGTTTCCAGGCTGGAGAAGGCTCAGGAGGAGAACCGGACGGTCGCCGTGGAGAAGGAGAACCTCGAGCAGAAGATGAGGGACGAGATCATCGACGCCAAAAAGGAGGCCCACCGGCTGCGAGAGCTGCGAGAAGGCGCCGAGTGCGAGCTCAGCCGGCTCAAATACGCCGAGGAGGAGCTGGTCCAGGTGAGGCCTGCCGGAGGACTTCCTGTCCCTGAACGCAGCTGAACCCGTTTCCCCTGAACGCAACTCGGCCGCAGGCTCATTATCAGTCAACACGTGCTGGCTGGCTGAAGTGAAAATCACATGGTTGCGTGCAGAAATGTGTGGAAACATGACTTAGTTCATATGGAAATTAAATTTGAATTCACTTGATGCGGTTTGCACATTCTTCACTGCCTTTTGAACGATGGCTTTAATTTAAAATAAGGAGGAAAAGGCTCGTCTGGGTGCGGTGCTTAATGCAGATGTAAATGTATTCATCGCTGTGGATAAATTGAAAAGATTAGTTTTATATTGTCTGCCTTAAATTTTCATTTCATTTGCGAGGGACCTGCTTTGCATAATTATCCTCCTTCGTAAAAAAAAAAACAACCCACAGCTCTGCCCTTGGATTCGAGTCGGGACAAAACTCCCCTTTTTTAACTCATCAGATATGGAAGAATTCAATAAATAGTAATCTCTGTTGTGTTTGTTATGAATGGTTTTTGTCGGCGGAGGGTTTTTTCTTTTCCTCTTTGACCCCCCGGTCGTGACGCGTCACCTTCCTGCAGGTGCGGAAGGCTCTGAAGCGGGCGGAGAAGGAGATGCAATCCGAGCGCTCCGTCCCCGAGGCGCTGCAGAAGTGGCTGCAGCTCACGCACGAGGTGGAAGTTCAGTACTACAACATCAAGAAGCAGAGCGCCGAGTTCCAGCTGTACGTCGCCAAAGACGAGGTGAGCTTCTCTCCGGCGGCGCAGGAATGCGACGGACCCAGAGCGCTCTGCCGCCCTTCGGCGCCGGGATTAGCGGCCGTAGCGATCCATCCATATTTGCGTTGTATAAATTTGAATGAATTTCGCCCTGATTTGAAGCTCTGATTTGTTCAAAAGTGAGAAACAGATCTTTTAGCCTAATTCTGTTTCAAATAATCATTTCAAACCTGTCTGAAAAAGATCTCATTCTACATATGTATCAAAGCTGAACATGAAAACAGGATAAAGAAATCTTCATGCAATAATAATGTTGCATATTGCTTGAATCAGACTTGTAGAAGTTTTAACAAATCATTTTATTTGTTTGGCCTCATTTCCTCCTTTTTGAGTTGTTGCAGTGAAATTCAGTAAATAATTTTGGCTTCTTCCCTTTATTTTTTTTTTTGTTTCAGGCAGAGAAAATAAAAAAGAAAAGAGGTTCTGTGTTCGGAACCCTTCATGTCGCCCACAGCTCGTCCCTGGATGAGGTGGACCACAAGATACTAGAAGCAAAGTAAGACTCAAATCTACTTCCTGCGTGCGCAATTCCCCTCGCAATCTGATTTACCATCATTTATTTTAACCTGAGTTCATTAGTTGAACATAAAGCCGCCCTAAGGAAAGCAAAATGGAGAGAAATTTAATTTCTCAGTCATTCACGGCTAACAGCCTTTGTGTATACTGGAGTTCAAGTCACCAGCAGCACAAAACCCCCAACATCCTCATTAATCTGGGATTTATTGCCGTCTTACCGTTTGTTTGCAGTAAACTGATTCAGGAAGTGACCGAGAATCAGACTGATTCTCTCTGCATTAGTCAAATTCCAGTATCGAGTGCTGAATGCATGCATGGACGGCATGTCACACATGTGACAGTTTTATTTGTTAATTGTTTTGAAAAACGTGCGTCATGCGAATTGTCCCAAACATGTCAGACCTGCATGCAACGCCGGCTCTTCACTGGTGTTAATACCACCGGTGTCCTCTGGTGAAACGCCAGCTCCTGATCTGTTCTATATTTCTTTGCAGATTAGTGTACATTCCTCTGGGCGCTTAACTTTGTTTAGTCTGCGGTGTATTTAGAGTTCCTCTGAAATCCAGTTCAAAGAATTGTTCAGTTGTTCAAACACCAAGGGGAATCACAGGAAAAACAAGAAGAAAGTGCAGCGCTCCGTCTGGCTTCTTGTTAGGCAGAGGTCCAGCTTTACAGCTTTGTGCCAAAAAGTGCATTAATCTTGGCTCATCAACTTCTCTGTGCGTCTTGGAATGGACGTTTTGATGTGCATCAGAGAAGAATCTCTCTCTTGCTCTCCAAGTTCGGCACGCTCAGATCCAGGGCCGTCCACTTCGTTTAGTTTTTCCCTTCTTATTTTTTATTTTTTATTTTTAGGAAAGCTCTGTCAGAGGTGACGGCGTGCCTGAGGGAGCGGCTTCACCGCTGGCAGCAGATCGAGAAGCTCTGTGGCTTCCCCGTCGTCAACAACTCAGGTCTGCCGAGCCTGACGGCCAGCCTCTACTCGGACCACAGCTGGGTGGTCATGCCCCGAGTCTCCGTCCCGCCGTACCCCATCGCAGGCGGTGTGGATGACCTGGACGAGGACACGCCTCCCATCATTCCACAGTTCTCCAGTGAGTGCGGCGTGCCATATTTTATTTGACGTTTCACACTCCATCTCAGCAGGAGAAAATGTCGCCGCTTGCTCCAGAACGACGTCCGATCTTTGTTTTGTTCTCCCAGCCGCCGCGTTGATCCGACCCCCGCTGACCCGCAACAGCAGCCTGTGCCGCTCCCGCCGAAGCCTGCTGAGCCAACAGTCGTCCCTGATGTCCCCGGACCCGGATCTGCTGTCCATGGCCGGCTCGTCCCTCTCCTATCGCCCCGACGTCGACGACGAACAGTTTATGTTCAGTTTGGATAGGAGGGGGTATGTAGCTGTGGCCGGAACGCCATGGAATGGTTTTACAGTTTGGACCAACAGGTGTTTTATCCAGACACTGACAGATTACCAAGAGGGTTTCACTGAATGTTATAGACTGTCTTCTGACTTGTAACAAATCACATTCATTTCATTAATCAGACGTTTGTTTTAGGTCTAACTGTCTCCTGATAATGACACGATGCGATTTTTGTCCCAGTATTTCTAATTTGTCACCGAGTCTCAACGAAGCCTGGTTGAATCTTTACCAGACTGAAAAAAAACACAAAAGTCTGGTTGATCTAGTTTCTAGCACTTGCAGTCAGACAAAATTAACTTACAAGTAACTTTTCAACATGATACAGGAGCTTTCAAGTCAATAATTCCTTAATATTGATGAAAAAGTACTAGGTATAAGTGAAATAATCAGCCAGTGGAACAATGTGTTTTTCCCATATTGCAAGTTAAAAATGTCGCACATATTTCCACGTTGCTGCGACGTTTTCAGTGCGTGACCCGCTTGTTCTGCTCCTCTCCGTCAGAGAACCGACTCAGGACGGCAGCTCCGACACGGACTCCCTCTGCTCCACCATCGGCCGGAAGCAGTTGCACTCCCCCGGCGCCGCCGACGCCCCGTTCCGCCGCATCTCCCGCGAGGAGCTGCTGCTGCTGGGCCACGGCAGCCCGGAGCGCCCCGGCTCCACCCACACCACCAGCAGCAGCAGCAGCAGCAGCCTCAGGGACTCCACGCCTCCTCCTATGCCCCCGACGCCGGCCGCCACCCCCTCCGGCCCGCCCTCCACTTCGCCGTCCCCGGCCCTGGAGCACCAGCCGTTCGCGCGGAAAGGCTCGCCCGACCTCACCCGCGTCATACCCGAGTCCCAAAGCATGCCGCTGTCGCAGGGCAGCGCCGCCTCTCCGACGGGCAAGGGCGTCTACAACGGCATCCTGGAGAAGTCCTACAGCTACGGCCAGCTGCCGGCGAGCATGCTGCCCAACGTGGGGCGCCACCCGTCTCTCACCTCGCTGGACTCGGAGGGCCGGAGCCTGGGGAGAGATTACAAGCTCCACAGCACCTCCTCCCAGGACTCCTGCGACAACGGGGAGAAAATTAAGCGCTCCTCGTCTAAAATCAAAAGCTTATTTAAGAAGAAGAAATAAAAAATGTTCAAAGAGAGGTAACGCGTCATGTGTGACGGCGAGAGAGAAAACTAAACTAAGGGAAGAGTTTTATCGCTCATGCGTCACTGGAAGATAAAACATTTCCTTTTCTCTCCTGGGTTTTTTTTTTTTTTTCTTCTTTTCTGTCGTCGTCAAAGATGGAATGTAGCTCAGCCTGGGTGCCGTCAAACGCCCCTCAGCCTGGTAGCCTTATTTTTCAATAATCCCTTTGTTTTTAGTTCTCGCAGAGAAAAAACCCGCACAGGTGGAGGAAGGAGCCGAGGCAAGCTTAAAACCTGCTCACGGTTCTCTCTTCCTTTCTTTTCTTTTCTTTGTATTTTTTTATTTTTTATTTTTTTTAGTTTGAACCAAAAAAACCTCTTCGTAAAGGGTCAAAAGGTGCGGTCTTGTGCATTTAGTTTCAAACTCACAAAGTGTAGTGTTTCACTGAAGACGTGTTGTGTGGATGAACTCGTGTGCTTGACTCATTTCATTCAGAGGAGAAAGCGAGCGAGCGAGAGAGAGAGAGAGAGAGAGAAAATAATAATAATCCTGCTAAAAGTTTGTTGCACTCCTGTTTTCTTCGTGGTTGTGTTTTTTTGGGGGAGGGGGGTTTGGAAGAGAGAGAGAGAGAGAGATTTAGAATCAAGATGTCAAAATGAAGGGAGGGGGATGAGTGAGCGGTCGCAGTGAAAACGCAGCACAGAGCCAAAATGATCTGACGTGCCCTCAGTGCCACTCTTTATGGATGTCTCTATATAAATAGAAAAAAGAAATATATATATACATATAAACTGTTTTCACACAATGTTCTTAAAGGTGATTTTAATAGATTTTTAAATTTTACGGCTTCATTGCGGACTGAAGCTGCAGCGGTCACTTTATCTGTGTTCTTGTCGCCCTTTATTACTTGATTACCTGCATCCTGTAGCCATACAGTAACAAAATCTACTATCTTTATGTTTTTTTTTTAAATCTATATCTCTATATCCTACAGCTTTTTAAACCTGGTGTCACTACAATGTTTGGGGGGAGGAGGGCGAAATTGGTTTGCAGGTGCATCTCTCAAGTAAATTAAATGATCATTGAGAAGCTTATTTATTTTTGTAATGTAGTTTGAAAAGTGAAAGTTGTGTCTCGTGTAGTTTTCTTACACACAGAGTGATGTATTTTAAGTGTATTTTTTTGTTTAAAGATTTTAATCTTTCGCAAACCTTCAAATTGGGTTTCCATGATCCCTGCTCAAGGCTGCAGTCAAGAGCATGGAGTCGAATGTTATCATGTTTCCCGCCTTCATATATAAAGTAAAACTGATTCCATGTTCAAAATCTAATCACTATCTTGAACAATAAAAGGCAAACTCAGATTAAAAAAAAAAAAAAAACATCTTCAAAGTTGTGTTGATTCACGGTTTAACCATGTAGTGTTTTTATTTATTTATTTTGCTTAAATGTTCATACTATTCAGCTTGTACTGAAGTCTTGAAGTGGACGGCTTTTGGGAATTCAGCCTCCTGCAGTTTTTCCTTCCACTAAACTTAGCATTAATATTCTTGGATGCAGCACTCTATGAGCAGCCATCAAGTATTATTAATCTCTCATCTAGTGCGTAACTATTTTTTTTTTCTTTTCTGAGTAACTGTTTAATTACTTTTTTTTAGCTGCAGGTAACAATCAAAATGAACAGAAATAAACACTTGAAATGTATCACTCTGTGTAATGAATAGAAGCTTCACTCTTTGAACTGAATTATCAGCTTATGAACGTTGATATATATATTTTTTTGATGCGCCTGTATGTGTTGAAATTCCAGGAACACTAAGAATAATCTGCTGCCAATCTGACATCACACTGCAAGGCAACCAGACCACCCAACTGTTCAAAAAAGACAAAACAAAAAACAATATGCGGCAAGAAGTCAAGCTGTTTGATCCGGATCTGATGAATGATGAACCAAGACCTGCCTCTCCTCCCTGCTTCTGACCCCCCACCGAGTCCCCACTAAGCTCGACCCACCAATAGAGTCCTGCTCGTCACCTCCGGGGGCCCGCAGACCTCGCGCACTGATGTCAAGAGCTTCACACTGTGATTGCTGGCCGCTTCCTCTCGTCCCGGATCTGGGTGTCACCGCTGCAGTTTGGGAACGCAACGGTGCTCCAGCAGCATCTAGGAGGTCGCCGAGCTGAGGATCCAATGTGCGGTTTTAAAACTAGGAGGAGAAAGAGAAACAAAACAAAAAACTCATACATGTGAGAGGTTGTCGGGCAACGGAGCGCGCAATGAAGGGAATGCAGGACAGGGCTGCTCGGTGGGGAGGGAGTGAATGTTTACGAGGAATGTGGGGGTTTGAGGATATTTTGTGTGTGTGGATATTTGTACACTGTAGAAGAATTAATAATAATAAAAATAAAAATAAAAAAAAAGGAAGCAACTGAGATGGTTCAGAGTCATGTTTGCGGGTCTGTTTTATACTTTTGTCTGAAGAGGTGAAAAAGTGTTTTGTCCAAATCAAACAGCAGCTGAAATTTCATCGCCAAAATTACTATGAAAGAGCACAAATATCACTGCTTTTACATTTTCTTTCAGTTTCCCTTCACCTCATAGGGCTTGTTGGCCGCATTTAGTTTCATGTCGGAAGTTGATAAAATTGTAAAAAAAATTATAATGGCAGATAGAAATCAAGATTGCATCTGGAAGTCGCAGCAGAATGATGATATCAAACGTCACATTGAGCGCTTAGCACACAAGCTTGAATTAAATGATTTATCCGAACTAATGTATGAGAGGAAATATCTTGGGAGATCTAACAAACCGGCACCTTATCCAGAAAATTCAAGCACTGTGATTTACCCAACCTTTGCGTTATTTACAGTGAAAAAAGCCTGCTTGTGGCAACAATTGTAATTCTCAAAACCCAAATTACCACAGCATTTGGGGGAAGACGCCATTTCTGCTCCTGTTCTGACCAGCATTGTTGCTCTGATGCAACAGGTGTCGCCACCCCCATTTCATCCAAACAACTGCGTCACCAGAACCTTTGGCAAGGGATGCATCCAGAGGTTGAGTAAAATATTTTGGCAGAGAATGGAACCAGATGGAAGTCACACTTTAGAAATCGTCTGTTTTTGAGAGGTAACGACAATGTGGCTATCATCTGAGAATGTGTTGTTATGCTAGTCAAATGCTGACTTTAACCATCACTTTTCTACCTATTTAGGATTAAAAAGAAACGGTCAAAAACACATTTTTATCTGAAAACCTTTATCTTCACAAACCACACCTCACTGTTCTGGCTTCCGACTCGAGTTGTCTGTCCCAGCTGCGGCCTGAATGTTGTTGTATCTTCATTCCTCAAGCTTTATTGTTATTCTCCTTGAAGCTAAGTTTCCAGTTATTTCATATCCCTGAGGTCAGGACATTCTGTTACACTTTTGCTCTTCTGAAGCAGGAACCTCAGGGGAAAGTGAAAGTGCTCCCTTCATTATTGGGCAGACGCACAATCCAGTCGACATATTCCCCTGAAACACGTCGTTAGGAAAACACAACAGGCAGTGACGCTCTGACTTTTTCAACATCTTCGTTCACACATGCAGATATGTATTTCTGTTTCATAGAGGGGTGGCTATAAAAAAAAAACAGTGCAATTTAATTGTATAATTACTTCAGTTTTTCAGTACTTCAAAAAGTATGTTTCCAAAAAAAAAAAAAAGTCAAATTTGAACTTTTCACTTGCTCTCTGAAGTGTTTTCCCATAAAAGCCCCATCCACAATTCCTGATTGGCATCCAGCTGGATTGCCTGTTTGTTTCGCCGCAGAAAGCAGCCGAAAGACCACCCTTCCGAAACCTGCATCCTCCACCAGCCGAGCCCTGGTGGGGGCATGGAGTATCCCTCTGACAACCCATTTGTCTTTGGAAGGGAGGGCTCAGCCGCGAAACGCAGAAGAAAAGCATGCATGATCGCTTTATCAATACCGAGTGAGCGTGATGAAACTTTTGTTGATGGTTCATCAATTTGGGCGCACCAGGAGAGGAGCGGAAACGTCTGCCGGTGATGAATGTTGCCGGGGGAGCGCCGCGCGCGCCGCACAGCATCCCGCACCCGCCGCTGCGCCGCTCCCAGCTGGAGGCGCAGTTACAGCGGCGGCCACACGAGGTCAGCAGAGCATCGCGGAAGGAACCCCGCCGGCCACTCCCTGAGAGGAACTGAGGATCTGCTGGGCGTCGGTAAGGTGATGCGATGGGGAAAGCGGCGTCGGACGCGGTTTGTATGAGTTGCCAAGCGCTCACAAGTACACAGCAGGTCCAGTGCTGAAAAGTTGTGTGATAGTTTAAAGTGTCTTAGCCCTGAATGGCGTCATTGTTTACAGTCCAGGTTTAAAAAGAGATGTTATTCAAATGTGATTGGCTGTCTTGACTTAATTCAGTAAGTCAAGACAGAATTACATTTTCATTGATTGGTTCAGCAGTTAGTTACGGTTCAGATATATTTCAATCAATAGGTGGCGGATACTAAAAGAATAACTTCTGAATGTGACTGAGCGAAAGGGACTCTCTTGAATACTGGGGGGCTATTGATCAATACCTCTCATGCATAAAATCACCCACTCAAACAGCTTTCTGCTTTTGAATTCATGCTATTTGTTCACTGTCTGAAATCAGTTCTACTGTTTGTGAGTTGGCTTTGTTTTAGACGGAAAAAGAAAGGAGCAGTCCTTCAACGCAGCCATGCAAACAAAGGAATGAAAGCTGAGGATGCTGGCTCATTTCTGAGGGACACAAACTCTTCGGTTTCAACTACAAACATTCCTGCTTCACTGCAAAATGGTTTAATGGGAAAGTTAATGGCAGTGCTGTTCAGCACTTAACTATCTGTTCATCCATTTTCGTACCTGATTAATCTTTGCGGAGGGCGGCATGGTACCCATCTCCAGAACTCAATGGCGTCTGGTGGGCTTCATCTTGGGCAGTGACGGAAGCGGAGCTGCTGATTGGAGAGTCGCTACCTTCTGTTTTAGAGTCTCTGGAGGAACAGGACTCTGAGCATCATCACAGACCCCTCACTGCTTCGACGTCATTTTCTTTGGACTGATGTCATCAGGCGACTGAAGGTGAGGCAACACCAAAAACAGAACCACCAGACTGCAACACAACTTTAAGACCAAGGTGTTCAGATTATGTTTTATAAGTTAGCACATCTTGCACTGTTCAAAAAACAAAACAAACATTTGACATTCTCTGTGATGGACTGGTGATCCCTTTAGGGTGTACTGCGCCTCTCGCCCAAAATGTTCACCGGAGACAGTCACCAGCACCCCTCTGACCCACTAGAGACAAGGGTGGAAGAAAATGGATGGATGGACATATGACATTAGGACCAAGACCTGATCCCCACAGCTCCTGTCAGCTGTTACCTCTTCCTTCCCCTCCTCCGTCAGCATTAGAGAATATAAACGACGTGATCTGTGGTTACTGATTTCCAGAACGAGGCTCATCAGACTGTTTGGAATATGAAGCTTTGGTCTTTTCTCCACCAAACCATTGTGAGTGAGCCAAGCCCGAGCGTTTTGCATGCGCTAAAAGTTGAAATCCTGCCTTTATGCGTCATGACATCGTTAGTTACAGTTCATATTGTGACACCGCAATGCCAAAATCCCACAAGCGTTTGCTCTGCAGCACCTCATTTCACATGGATCTGATTTACATTTAAAGCTGCTGCATTCAGCAGCACTATGTCCCTTATTCTCCCCCTTACTTTCTTGTTTATGCTTCCTTTCTATCCTCACAGGAGCTGCGCAGGTTGGGGACGCGTTGCTGATATTTATGGCCCCCTGAACAGCACTGCAGTGTGGTAATTGGCCCCACAATGACTCTAATACTCAGACAGAGGAGCTGCGTGAGGGAGCAGAAAGTGATGCAATGCCATAAGATGGCAGGTCCTTCCCTTAATGAGTGGTGGTTGGGAGAAAGAAAAAAAGCCCAGTAAATGAGCAGACATAAACAATATTTTAAAAAACACATGAATGTAAAGTGAATATAAAACAATAAGGTGTTTTTTTTACCCAAACTGCTGCTGAAATCTCTCCCTATTCATTCTCCTCTCCTCTTTTCTTGATCCCCTATAACTCAAGCCCCTCTCCTCTCTCGTTTGGATCCCATTCCTTTGCAGCGTAATGGGTTTATTAGTGTGGTTAATGCACTGTGACCTAATGGGAGCTCGCCGTCTACCTTTTTCATCTATGGAACAAAAAAAAAAAAAAAAAAGAAAAGCAGGAATGTTTTTTCAAAGGCGAAGCAGAAGAGAAATGAGGTGTACAGGGAAGCCACAAAAACAGCAAATGACAGTTTTAGAGCCAAAATCACAGCTGAACAGATGAGAAAAAGAAAATACATAAAACCTGAGCAGAAAATTGACAGCCTTTGCACTTTTTTTTTAAAGCAAAAATCAGTGGCAAGACATTTTCAGTCTCTGTAATTAATAGTATTGGAGAATGAAAGCAATACCTGAACAAAAAAAAAAGAAAAAAAAAGGACTTCAGCTAGAAATGTTCTGGACAAATAAATGATTTTGATGCAAAATTGTGGGTGATGAAGAGACCGGAGTGTTCTTTTGTCTGCAACAGCGGAGGCAAAAATTAAATAAAATGAAACATAATTAGGAGGGTGCCAGCCTTAATTTTGTGAGAGCTAGACAGTGTCTGAGGCATACGGCTCGTCAGATCTCATCATCGATTTTGCCTGAAGTAGAGGAGAAAAGAAGTTTTCAAAACAAGCAGATAGTGAATCTTCTCAACAGATGGATATTTGAAAATGAGCTTTCTTTGACCTTAAACCTTGTTTTTGGTTTGCCGTCCAGCTCATTTGCAATTCTCTTATAAGCAAAAACATAAAGCAACCTTCAGACTTTGCAAATATTGACCGTGTTTAATATTTATATGATAATTCCAACTTTATTATATTGTGATAAAAAAGAGCTTGAGCTTTCCCCCCGATGTTCATGTGAACGGATGGTTTCTTCACTTTCGACTTCTTTGTGCAAACAAAAATGCATTTGTTTGTTTTTACTGTCAAGTAAATGCTAAATTAGGAAGATTACTGATGAATATAATTTGTAAAAGTCAGGTGTTTTAATGCGCAAAATAGAGAATTTAACAATTGTGTAGAACTCCAACCACTAGGTGGCAGAAAAGTCCTTCACGCCAACTATCGGTCACATCATGGTTTATATACTGGAGGCCACAGCCCCACCTAGTGGCCAAAAACCAACACATATTTGGCTTCAATAATAAGACTGCGAGAAGAAAAAGAATTGGAACACGTTGCAGATGTCTTTGAGGAATCGCATCTTGACAGGCGGGTCATATTTAAGGGACGTCTTGATGGAGAACAGGTGTGGCGCCAATCCGGGCCGGTGCAGCTAGAGACAGTGAAGT